TTCTACCCTTACCCAACACTCCTTCCCCACCTCTGCAACCATTGACATCCACAGCATCACACAGTGTGCCACACCAGCAACCATTGACCCTCTCCTGAACTTCCTCACTCCCAGAGTACCAAAACTAGAAATCCCTTTGTCCTCCAGGGAAGATGTCCAGGGGTGACTCTTCCAAATAGAGCACTTCTTCACATATCACAACACTGCATAAGACCAAAAACTTACCATTGCTGCCTTTTATATGACCCGAGTAGCCCTACAATGGTTCCAATGGATGCATTCCACTTCTTAACTCACCACTCAGGATATCTTCACACAACAGCTAGAGCTACGATTTGGGCCCTCCAAGTTCATCAATCATGAAGCCCAGCTATACAAATTAAAACAACAAACCACCATTTCGGCCTATCTTTGTGAGTTTGAAGCTATATCCACCCGTATTACGGGCTTGAGCCACAATAACCTCTTGAATTGCTTTCTATCTAGGCTGAGAGAAGACATCCAATGGGAACTTTGCATCTTGAAACCCCAAAATCTCCATGAAGCTACGAGTATGGCCAAGCTGGTGGAAGACAAATGCAATGCCTCCAAAAATCCTTTCAACAAATCTCCCATCAACCGGCCAGTAGCTCTTACAAATAGCCCTATCCCTAACCCTTTTTCATCCTCGCACCAAATACCATAAAAGCCCAAACCCTAATTCACCATCAAATGCCTTACCTCTGCTGAAATGGCTGTTCGTCGTGAGAAGGGGCTTTGCTTCAATTGTGATGAAATTCACCCCCGATCACCATTGCAAACCACCCCAATTCTTGTGCCTCATGGTCGAGACAGATGAAGACCCTCCCATTGAAATTCTACCCACAAAGGAAGATCCCGATGACTCGACACAACAATATCTCACGATGGAGCACTTAGAGACGACACCCCAAATCTCCTTTCATTCCCTCACGGGTCAGTTAGTGCCCTCTACCCTTAAATTGGCTAGAGCTATTAATGGGCATAAATTCATTGTACTTATAGATGGTGGGTCAACCAATAATTTTATCCAAAACAGGCTTGCAAGCCATTTGGGCCTACCCATCCAGCTTTTCTCTCACTTGTGAGTCACAATAGGGAATGGAGACTCATTGGGTTGTGCTGGGGCTTGCCTCTGTACACCACTCCAGTTCCATACCATAAAAGTTCCAATGGACCTACCAATCTATGAAGCTGACTTGGTTCTTGGAGTTCCAATGGCTGGCAGAGCTTGGACCAATGCTATTTGACTATAAATCTTTATGGATGGAGTTTGAATATTCAAGGTCTAAGGTCAAGCTAGTGGGGCTACAATAACCATCCTTGGTCCATATTACCCAAGCCCCTCTCAAAAGATACTCTCACACCCAATCCATAACCCAATACTTTCACCTATCCATAGATTCCCCAACCTCTGTTACTGCCCTTCCAGCCGTGGGAGATGATGCACCCCCTTGTTTCCTTACACCGCTGCAATCCCTCTTTACCAAATTTACTTCCATATTTGCCGTTCCCTCTGGCCTTTCCCTATCCCGCACATTAGACCACCATATTCCCCTCATCCCAAATACATCATCTGTGAATATTAAACCTTACAGATACCCACACTTCTAGAAGTCTGAGATCGAGAAATTGGTGGGTGAGATGTTAGCTGATAGTGTGATTTAGAAAAGCACTAGCCTTTTCTCTTCCCCAGTGCTGCTGGTTAAAAAGAACGATGGCTCCTAGCATTTTTATGTGGATTACCGCACTCCGAACTCGGTTACTGTCAAGGATCATTTTCCCATCCCCATGTTGGATGAGCTGCTCGATGAGCTCCATGACGCCCAAGTGTTCTTTAAATTGGATCTACGTGCAGGATATCACCAGGTGCGAATTCATCCTTCAGATATTGAGAAAACAGCATTCCACACTCACGAAGGCCATTACAAATTTCTCGTAATGCCATTTAATCTCTCAAACGCACCTTCAACATTTCAAGCCTTTATGAACTCCATTTTTCGTATGATGTTACGCAAGTCAGTTCTGGTTTTTTTTTTAATGATATTTTGGTATATAATCAATCGTAGGATGCCCACCTTAAGCACTTAGAAGAAGTGTTTACCATCTTACAGAGTCACTCCCTATTTGCTAAGCTATCCAAATGTGAGTTTGGGTGCACCGCGTTGGGTTACTTAGGGCATCGCATTTCAACTTTCTGGAGTTGCTGTGGATCCAGATAAGGTTAAAACCATCCAACAATGGCCTCTACGAAGCTTTGTTAAACGATTGTGTGGGTTCTTAGGTATCATAGGGTATTACCGAAGGTTTGTGGCTCGGTATTCATCTATCGCAACTCCCCTAACACAGCTACTATGAAAGAATGCATTTTTCTGGGATTTGAAAGCTACCATGGCATTCGAACATCTGAAGCAGGCTTTGTCTAGCACAACTGTATTGGTCCTCCTAAATTTTTTAGAGTCATTTGTGCTCCAGATGGATGCTTCTGGTACAGGGATCGGAGCCATTCTATCACAAAACGGTCACCCTATCGCCTACTTCAGTAAGGAGATGTCCTCACGACTACAGGCTTCTTCCACATATACTTGTGAGATGTTCACAATCACAGAATCAGTCCAAAAATGGCGACAATATCTATTGGGTCTCAAGTTCACCATTCAAACGGATCACCAAAGCTTGCGAGCTTTGCTTAACCAGATGATTCAGACTCCGGAACAGCAGAAATGGCTGACAAAGTTGCTTGGGTTTGATTTTGATATTGTGTATAAACCAAGATCCGAAAATGGTTTTTTATATGCTTGCAATTTTTCTTTAAAAATGATCTAGAGAAATTGAGTAAGCGAATTTATAATTCATGTGTATTTGTTTTTGTTTTCAAGTTCTTGTGTTCATTTCTCCACGTCTTTCAGCGTAGTAGAAAAGTCTCTTGGAATATTTGTTGATGAGCAGAAAGCTCAACACCTAAAAGACAAATCTAAACCATTAGAAGACTGTGCTATTGTTTTTGGGCGCACTGACAAAGGAGTGCCAGGTCTTCGACAAGTTTGTTCTTTCTGTATATTTTTTGCCCTATTCTTTCGGCAGTTCAATATTTAAATATTCTTGATTGTGAGGCCTATTCCTTTCACTACTTTTTTCTATTTGCCAACCATTGTAACAAATATTTTGTGATAAGTTTCTCAAAACTTATCATGTCAGTTTTCTATCTCATTTATGATCCTTTTTTGTGTCGAAACCAAAGCCTCGAAACTTCCTGTGATGAAAAAGTTCTGTTGGCATCATGTGGGTATTGAAATTCAAGTTAAGCAAAATTAGTTATATTGTTTGATTTGTTGATGTGCGATGTCGAAAGAATGATACCTTGAAAATATTTACATCGTGGGATTAAAAAGTCTGTTTTAGCACTTGTTCTATTCATCGATTGGATTTTAGTTTCTGATCAATTGTATTTACGCCAAGAATTAATCTCCATTTCTACCAAAGCCTAATCTTAGTGGAAACCATACAATAATATATATAGTAGTTAGCTTTCCATCTCTGTCCAATCTTTGACAAATTTGTGGAGACAAAAGCAAACTACCTATATGAATCAATAACTTACATAGAGTACTAATTTATCAAATATGAAATTTTCTTAAAAAAATTATAAATGCATATGTGAGCGACAAATGTTTTACATTTAAAAAAATAAAAAAATGAGATTTTTATATATAAGATGGATCTATAATATATTAATTTAAACTTAATTTGTTGAACAGGAAGTGGTAATCATTCTTGCATGTAAGTTCTTCTACTTGTGATCCAATATGAATATAAAAATTTATTTTTTTCCTTATATTTAGATCTTATACTCTTCAATCTTTTTTATTAAAATTCTCTATTATTTGAAATTTTTTATTTCGAACGTATCTTGTTATAACACTACCAACTAGTAATATATTAACATGTTTTAAAAAAAATTTACTTTATAATATTACGTGTCGATTACCGATTGATGACATAATAATAAAATGTTTGAAACAAAAAACTCAAAGAATTAAAAGTATCAATCAAATAAAAAAAATAAGAGAAATGATCTTAAAAAAAAAAATCAAAGAATATATATATATATATATATATATATATATATCACTACATTTCTTTGAATACAAGCAGTTTCCTGATCAAACGAAAAAAGGGACAAACAATTGATGAGCTGAACATTCTTGTGTTTAGGAAACTTCCAAGAAATTTACACGGCCATTTGCAATATTATATACTCTTATGTCATGACTGCATGCATCAATATTAGAGATTCTTCTATTTATTGGCATTCCTTGTTATGAATAGCATTAGCTTGTTTACTAATCAACCGAAAGTACAAACATATTAACTTTTATATCCATTTTTGGGAATCAAACTCTCCATCTCTCTCCCATCTTGGGTAAGAAAAAAATCGATACTATATATGCTTGGCACGGCACGATGCAAAATGGTTGATTTAAGATTAAGTCTGAATTTAATACGGATTTAGTCCAATAAAAATTTAATTTAATTTTAATTAATAAAAAAATTGAATCGAAAATACTTCATCATCATATAAGAACAAAAAAAAAAATCATTCTAATTGTAGGAGTAATAACTTCTCCAGATAAGATTATATATATATATTCCATGCAACAATCAATGCGCCTTCAAGCATGCCTAGGCATGTTGCATACCACATGTCGCTCACCCATTCTATAGAATTAAATTGTGTATGCTCTAATTCCACCTATAGGTCAACCGAGCATCCTCTGAAGAATTTTCAATTATATAGTCCACATTTCCTGAAATGTGCCGGTTTTAACTGGACCATGTGCCATGGTAATAACCTCACCATTCACCTAATGAAGAAGACTAGTCTTCTAAGCCACAACATTCCCTATATATAGCCCACCTTTTTGTCCAACTTGCTTTATTGCTAGAATCAACACAAGATTACCCTTTCAAAGCAATCAAGGATGACGAATATTTCCTTTTTGAGCAAACCCTTGCACCATCTTTGTAGCTCAACTTGGTGTCGGATGTCATGTTTCTACCGTTTAATCCTTCTTAGAGTGAATTCTTTTTGTATTCAACTTTGCTACTTTATCTCTGTTTCCTTCTTTGGTTTTGTTGTTCTAAAGGTTTTGAAGCCAAGAACCCATGATTCTTTTAGGCCTAGGAACTTAGATTTGTTCTTCACGTCCGTGTCTGCCACTACAGTTTCAAGTATGTCCACCGTTGAAATGGAAGTTTTCTCCAATTCCCAACTCATTGTTTTAATCATTTTAATGTTCATTGGTGGAGAAATTTTCACCTCCATGGTTGGACTTCATTTCAAGAAGTTTCAACTTCAAATTTTGAAAAACAGAATTTCTTCTGTCACAAATAATGATCTGCATAGCACCGACCAACCCGAGACAGAAATGGTAGCAAACCCAGATTTTGAAAATCTTGAATCAGGAAAGGATGATACTTCATTAGATAGTTGTAGTTTTGAGTTTTTGAAGTACAAATCGATCAAGTTTTTGTGTTTTGTGGTTTTAGGTTATTTTCTCGTTGTTCAAGTCCTAGGAATTGCGCTAGTTTCCATCTATCTATCCCTTGTTTCTGGTGCAAGAAATGTACTAAAAAACAAGGGACTAAACTTGTTCACATTTTCTCTCTTTACCATTGTTTCAACTTTTGCAAATTGTGGTTTTCTTCCAACAAATGAAAACATGGCAGTCTTTAAAAGCAATTCAGGTCTCTTACTAATCCTCATCCCTCAAATTCTTCTTGGAAACACACTGTTTCCTTCTTGCTTAAGATTTTCTATTTGGTTCTTGGGAAAATTTTTCAAGAAAGTAGAATCAAATTACCTATTGAATAAAAAAAATGAAGTAGGATATTTTCACTTGTTACCAAGCCAGAATTCATCATATTTGATTGTTACTGCTTTTGGGTTCATCATGACTCAATTTGTATTATTTTGCTCCATGGAGTGGAATTCAGCTGGATTAAGCGGACTAAATTCTTACCAGAAAATTATAGGTGTATTATTTCAGACCATAAATACAAGATATGCTGGAGAAAGTATTGTGGACCTCTCAACTATCTCCTCAGCACTATTGGTGCTATTTGTGGTTATGATGTAAGTGTTTCTTCTCGTTCCTACCTAATTTTAATTCATGCATAAATCCACGTTTCATGCAATAACTAGGAGAAGAAGAAATTTTATAATACACAAAAACTAACTAGTAACGTGTAAAGTAATTACTTCATAGACTCACTTTAAGAAGAGAGATAGACACAATGAATTACATTCGGACTTATCAAAAGTGATAATAAGATTTTCACATTGGCTCAATTTTTTTTAATTTTTTTTTTTTTTGTCTATCTCTCTCCTCAAAGTAGATTTATGAAAGTAATTATTATACACATCACTAGCTACTAGCTACTAGCTACTGCTTGTCTATTATAAAATTTCTCCTAGGAGAAGTATAGAAATTTCAACAATTGGATTTCAAGTGTGAACACACTGGGGTGTCAATATTGGGAAGTATAGAAATTTCTCTCTTTTTTCCTTTTTCAAATCGAACATGAGAGTCATGAGTTTGGCATGCCAAAGTTGACATAAAACAAGGAACAATCCTCTCCCACGAGGGCGGTTCTTACAAGAATTTCTTGATCCTTATTTTAGACATACGTATATGGTTGAATAGTCTAAATTGATCACCTATGTTTTCTTTTTATTTTGTCTACATGAAAGTGGATATTTTCTCTATTTTCCTTTTGTTGTTTTGGTAATCGGTATACAAAACAGACTCATCAGTCATCTTCAAAAAAATGTCCAAAATAATAAAATAATATAAAGAGGGTAGGCATATTGAACTAACCATATAAAGAGGAGGTTGAGCTAGTACCCATAATTCATTTTCTTATTTTAACAATACATAAATAAATATTAAATAAATAACAAAGTGAGTTAGGCTGGATTACTATGGAAAAATTGACATAATATCGCAAGACAAAGCGAGGGCTTTTACATAATGTATACAATGAGAGCATCTTTGTCCTAAAAGTTCGAGAATTTCTTTCGCTTTTTGAGTAATTTTTTTTACTTGATTTAAGTCTTTCCGAAAGTTTTTCTTAATATAAATAAAAGTGACTTGTATATATTAATCAATCGCATCTCAATTGTTAGATAAACTTCAAACCATTCATTAAACTCAAAGAAAAGAAAGGTTGAGCACTCTTTTATATATATATATATAGGGCTTGCCGATTAGAGAATCAAAACTAGAGATTCGAATCTAAGATTTTTTGACTACTAACTCATCCATATTAGGCATCATGTCTCATTACTTTCAACGACAAAAGAATTAATTTATAACTCAAGTCATGCCCTATTACTTCAAGTCAAGGTATTCAAGTGTTTCTAAGTAGGGTTTCCTTTGATCTCAATCAACATATATAAAAAACCTTAATCGATCATTTTTGTTGTATGGAAAAGTTAAAGAAAGGTAGTATTGCTACCATGATTGTTATTATTATATTATAATTAGTTATAATCTAAGCAATAGAAAGGTTCCTAGGTTGTTTGATTTTATAGTACAATTATCATCTCCTTTCTCATCAATCAAAAATATTTTATTAGCTTAGTTTATCATTATTATTTTATAGAATACCATAACTTGGACAATCCTAATCAAACTTAATAAAACAATTAACCTAGCATACGAATTATCTTAGGGGTAATGATATGTAGACTCTCTCTGTGTCTCTCTCTTACAGTGTTATATATATATATATATATATATATATATAACTTCATAAAACGGTGTTAATTTTCTCGTACTAAGAAAAATGAATTTTGAAATAGCTTTCTCTGTCTCTATCTTTTTTCAGGTATCTTCCTCCTTATACTTCTTTCCTTCCCATAAAAGACGATGAAGAAACGTTCGAGAAGAAAAGAAATAAAAGAGGAAAGCTTTTGGAGAATATATTATTCTCTCAACCACCATATTTGGCCATTTTCACTATCCTTATATGTATCACAGAAAGACAAAAATTGAAGGAAGATCCTCTCAATTTTAATGTATTGAATATTTTGGTTGAAGTTGTCAGGTATATAAAGTTTATTTCCTTTTTTCTTAGATTTTGGCCTCAATTTTTACTAATAGTTGATAAAATAAATTACTATGTGGTAATTAGCTAACATCTTTAATTTTTTTTTTTTTTCAGTGCATATGGAAGTGTAGGGTTTACAGCAGGCTACAGTTGTAACAGACAAATACAATCCAATATTAATTGTGCGAACAAATTTTATGGATTTTCAGGAAAATGGAGTGATGAAGGGAAGATTATACTCATAGTGGTAATGTTCTTTGGAAGACTTAAGAAGTTCAATATGGAAGGTGGTAAAGCTTGGAAACTTTTGTAATGTATAGAAAAAAATTTAAAAAAAATAAAATCAACAATTAATATTGGCCATATTATATGTGTCCTCTAAGAGGAGTAAATTATAAATTAGCCTCTTTAATTTCGAGAAAAAAATTAATTAGTCTTTTTTTTCAAAAACTAATTATTTACTCTCTATATTTTTAAATTTTATTGAAATTTAATCATTTTATTTTTTAATTTATTTAAATTTAAAAAATTCAAGAAGAAAAAATAAGTAAAAAAAAATATAAATGATTGATGAGAAAAGACATTTTTTAAATAAAATAATATTAATTTAACATTGATCAACACTAGTCAAAAGACCAATTAATTAATTTTTAAAACAAGGAGATTAATCAATTCATTTCTCAAAAATAAAGAGATTAATTTATAATTTACTCCTTCTAAGAAGCATAATTATTTGTCTTTTTTTAATCCCACTTGTTCAAAAAATTGCATAGTGAAAATGAAAAAAGTAAAGTAAAAAATACTCAGTGTTCTTAGATCTGTACTCTCTATTTGTAAAAAAATAAAAAATTATAATGATGAGTTCTGATTTTATACCAGTGAGGGATTTCAACTTTAAGAATATATAATCATTTTTCGGTAAATAAATACCTAGATCGGTATAGGCTGCTCTGATAATTGGGGCTGAAATCTGATATCCCTTTAGGGCTTATTGGATTGTTTGGGATTAGTTTTGTAATATCTTCTGGGCTATGTGTCTAACCTTTCTGGGATTCATGCCAATGTAAATTAATTACTTTTGTGAAGAAGATACCTTCAACAATTTCAGCAACAGAAATTACGACTGTGGTAGGCCTATATTATGATTTTGCGTCCAGCCCATTCCAAGGTAAGCAGCAAATATTCAAAGAGAATATTCTTTGGTGCTCCTAAAGGTGCCAAAAGTTTAGGTTAACTTTCAGATGGTATAAAAATTTGTATAAAGATATTAAAATATATATTGGTATATATACCACGAACATTTTTTAACTTTAAGAATTCATTGACACCTAAAAAAATCAATCCTTTTCCACCTCTTGAAAAATAAAACTTGACATTTGAATCTTGTCTTTTAATTTAAAATTCACCAAATTAATTTTTTTCCCCTTCCTTTTCTCCTCCAAGAAAAATATAGCATACATTCCTTTTCCTTTCCAAATTCCTCCATCAATTTCTTTTATTTTACTTCTTTTTCTTCCACAAATTTGCCTTCACCGTTATTTTTCTACGTTGTTATCTCTCATAAATCCACATAAATATGTATTCCCCTATTGGCAATCAAAAACTATATGATATAGTAATAATTAGTCCTCCATCTCTCTCCCATCTTAGACGAGAAAAAGAATTGATCTTATATATATATATATATATGCATGCTTGGCATGATGCAAAATGATTTTCTTCCTTTTCCCTATTCTCCTTCATCTCCTTTCTCTTTCAAAACCATAAATTTCTACTAAGATCGAATTGATCTTCCCCTCTAAACCAAATCTTCTTCCAAACCCAAAGCTTTACCCAAAAAACCGATCCCAATTCTTTCTTTTTCTTCTCATCAAGACCAATGGGTTGTTCATCCTTCTTTCTAAAACCTAGGTCTGCATCGCTTTCAATAGAGATCTAGCAATCTCTTCCCAACTCCTAACCTTGAACTCCCCCTCCCTTATCTCCCATTTGAATGATCTCATACATGAAGAAAACGGGGCTATGCATGTTGTATGATAACTGAAACGTTCTTGAACGTTCCCTACGAGCATGCATTTACATAAAACATTTGTAGCTTATGAAAAAAAAAAATACCATTTAAGAGTTAGAGGGGCACACAGGAAATGGCCCTAAGCACATTTTGGTGGGCATTTTGCACATGCCCACGTGTGTTTCTATGAAGAGATACACACATTCCAAGAAAAGAAAGACACACGGGCGGATGGCCCTTAACACGGTTTGAAGGGCATTTTGTACATGCCTATGTTTGTTTTTATTAAGAAACATCCATCCTAAAAGAAATAGAAACACACGGGTAATGTCATGTGGCACGGTTTGAAAGGCAAATTCAACATGCTCGTGTGTATCTCAAAGAAGGAAAGCCATTTCAAAGGAAAAGAAGACACACTAGCAATGTTCATATGAAATAGTTTGAGAGGCAATTCTACAAGCCTGTGTGTGTGTCAAGGAAAAATTACCAAAATAAAATTTCATGTTTGATATAAATACCGGCTTGACTTATCTATTTATATCTTTTATCTATTCTACTATGGAAACTAGTAAATTTAATGTAAAATGAACCCTTCCTTAATTCGTTATCATGTCACATTTACATCATTTGGCATCATATACAATCAAAAATTTCCATTACAATACAAATGTTTTTCATGATGAGAGAGAGGAGAAGGAGGTCGTCAATCGACTTGTCGGTCATAATAGTTGATCGGCGACAAAATGAGATAAACTTTATATTCGTACCTTGTAGATATCTAAAATGAAATTGCATTTTTAATGAGATCCTACTCAATGAGGGATAATCATCATCGATACCATAACATACATTCATATCACCAATTAGAAGCATATGATTCGATCATACTAATTCATGCATCATCATGTTACATGTATCATTTTCTTGTCGGTTATGACTTAAACACATCAAATATCGCCTTGGAAACTTGTAACTTAAAACTTATATTACCGACAAGCTCTTATAGCTTGTATTTGACCTACTCGGATCCTTATAACTTGTATGTATGAATACTTGAACGTGTCGGTCATAACCTTATCCTTTTAATCCTATATGCATCATGAATGTCTCATATCACATATTTGTACATATCATCATACATAAGTCATATCATGAATCATACACAACATCAATTCACCATAACAATCTGAAACAAGTCATCAAATATCAAGTAACACACAAGAAAGCATGGCATCAAACAATCAATAGTTATCTCAAATATATCCACTCATCAAAATGGAGTCCTGCAGGTGACATTCTTCAACGTGCCAAGTCTTATATCTTGTGATCCTCGGCATCTAAAACATATATATCTAGATCATCTCATAAGCCATTTTATCATTCATGAACCTCAAAAACTTTTAAAAGTGAAAAATAAAAAAACTTGATCAACCTAATCCCTTTAGTAGCAGTAGCACTTTTCTTTAATCTTTTCACCCTAGTTCAAAAACTATAAATCTAAATGACTCGATCCTATTTTTTGTATGAGACTAGACTCATATTACTATAACATATCCAAAAATCAATCCCAAATTCCAAGCACACAATTTGTGGTAATTTTATGAAATCAGCTTTTGTTGTAGAATTTTCTCGCCCAAAATATAATAGCTTGGATGGAAAGAGGTTTAGAGAAAAATACACTTGTCTATTTTAACTCAAAATTTGGTAGGTTACTAAATTAGATCATAATCTACAACTTTCATGTTTTAACAAGACTCAAATTCTAATCCTAAAATAACAATAATTGCAATTCAAAATCAAAGTAGAAATAAAAACTTAACGAAAATTACAAAACATCTTACCTCTTTTCAAAATTGCTCAAGAACTTAACTCAATTTCTCTTAATCTTGAGTTAACCCCCTATAAATCAACTCTAGCACTTCATTTTTTCTTACCTTAGGATGGCTTTAGATTGGTTTTAGTTGTTAAACTAGGTTTCCCTCATAATTCCTTACTTACTCTTGATTTTCCACTTGTTCTCTTGCCTTTCTCTTCAACTAGCCATGGATAACTCAAGCTCTCTCTCTCTCTTCTCTCTCAAGGATGGTTGGCCATGAGGTTAGAAATTATAAAATCAACTCTTGAAAGAGTGTAGAGAATTTAGTATAAGTTTAAGTAGGCATCTTGGTAAAGTTTCTTTAAGTCCCTTAACTAAATCTAATTTGACACTTAACTCCCTTAACCACTAAACATATTTCTTAAACCCTTCTAACATGTCATATGTGTATAAATTATATTCATGTGTGTCTTTATGTATGCATGTATGTATAAATAGTAAAATTTTTGAGACAAAGATATGGCAATGATAGTAACTAAGTTTTTATGTATACATGTATGTATAAATAGTAAAATTTTTAAGACAGAGATATTGCAATGATAGTGACTAAGTCACTTTCATCATTGGTTCTCGAAAGAACAAAAGGCGAGGCTGATGATTTGAATCGAATAATGAAAAAAGAAGTAGAAAATTTACTCGATCTGTTTGATTGAGGGTGAATGATGACAATGAGGGGGCATCGTGATTCTTGCTTTCTTCCTTTCGAATGGTCTTCGTCCAAACCCAAAACCTTTGAAACCTAAAAATTTCTGCTGTAAAAACCCGAGTATCCCTTTAAAACCTAGAAATCCCTCCTTCAAGATCGCTTCCCAATTCCTAAAATTGCCTAAAATTTTTCTCCTCAGCGAATTCTTCCGTCAAAATTTTCGGAATTCCCATAATTCTCTTCCAATTTTCCATGAAATCCTTTTGCTCGATTTCTCTCCTTAAATTTTCCTCCCAAATCCTTGAAATTGCCAATGGGGTCGTCATTCTATTGCTACTCGATATCCGGATGAGACTCCTAAAAATTTATAAGAATTTGTTTTGAATTATTTATGATTTTATTCTAGAGATGTAAATTATTATTGATTGTGGGAGTCGTCACCTAGTATTATAGGAACTAGAAACCTAAAAATAGCACCGATCTAGAGATTGTAAGATAATGAGTTGGTTACGCTTTTAGAAAGATATCGATCATCTAAAAGCATTTTTTAAAAGAAAGGGACCACGTCTAGCTTATTCCTAACATTTATCTCCTAATGTATTTTGTTTATGCCGAATTATTTCCAATTCAAACTCCAATTTTCTATTTCCTAGGCCAAATTAATTTTTTTATTTTTATTTGTGACATCGTATTAAACCAATCGTCGGACCCTTTCGTCAAAAGACATGTAAGTTCAAACATCGGATCCACTTTGAATCTCGACATAATTGATTTGTCATA